ATTCCACGACTTCGGAGCATGCTGTCTGGGGCACGGCTGCCGGCCCCAGCCTCAGCCACCCCTCCCTGTGCCACCGTAGAACGGCGCCGGCGCGTCCCCTCGGCCCCCCGTGTCACAGCGTGCACATCCAAGCACAGGTGTCCGGTGACCCCTCTCTGTAGGCAAAGGGCTTGGGATGGTGCCTGGGACTTACCATGGAACAGAGAAACACGACTTCTCATCACCGACCTTGAGTGGGTGGAAAGGGCAATTACCCCTAAAAATAACGCTCTCATTCCATCTACCGACTCTGTGAAAAACCGTTTCCAGGGCTGAAATTTCAGGGCCCTCTGTCGTCACGGGGCTCGCAGTCGGCATTCTGCACCTGCCAACCTTCTGCCCGCTCCTGCCTCTTGCCGCGGGGCTGGCTCCCCATCAGCCCATTTGCCTGCGGGGAAGTGGCCCCACAGACGCTGTCGTCCCCACCTGGCCAGTACCTGTCTCACGCAGACTCCTACACCTGCTGGGGACGGCTGTCCTGTCTCCCTCCCTCCCTGCTCCCGCATCTCTCGGCGGTCAGGGGCGTCTCTGCAAACTGCACACGGGACACATCGTGGCCAGCAGTGGGCCTGCAAAGGAAAACCTGCAACTGTTTCTAGAGGAGGAACAGACAGGCCCAAGACAGTCCGCCCGTTAGCTGCCTGCCACACGCCGACCGCTGTATGTCCTTCGCAAAACCGTGCCTGCCCTCCCATAAAGTACACTGCCCTCCCCAGTGCCCGAGTGGACACCCCCAAATCCTACCCAGTTTAACATCCAGCTAGGAATCTCTCGGTCAGACCGGCAGCCCATGACCTCAGTGACCAATGTCCCATGCCCAGTACGGAAGGGCAGAGAACAGGAAAACCACAGACAGCACCCCTGTGTTTTGCAGCAGAGCAGTGACGATGGGCACACATGCCCCGTGGAGGGGACGCTGGCGTTCCCGGCCCAGACCTGGAGGGAGTGCCACGTCCAGCCACCCTCATGCGCCACTCCTCCTCCATGGGCCACTCTGCGTGTCTGGGGCTCCCATGGCCCCCTGAGCCACGGGATGCAGGACGCCCCATCTGTGGGCCAGGACACAGCTTGGGGCATGGGGGACCCAGGAACTGCTCAAGGCTGCAGGACAGGATCCCCAGTCAGCTCTGCGTGGAGTGGGGCTGGGGACTGAGCGTCCACTAAACTTACTCGGCTTTCAGAGTTGAAGGTGCTGTGGGCTCTCGCCAGTCTCCACAGCCAGCCAATCGACGACGACAGACTGTCACTTGGCCGCACGCTTTGGGATCAGGAGCTGCGCTGTTTCCTAGCAACGGAACTCGGCGCCCCGCTCATCCCCCACCCTCAGCTCCCATCGAGGTCTGGCCCCGGCCCCCCTGGGAGCCGCCAGCACCTGCCCTTGCCTCCCGCCGGCCTTCCAGCTGTGCCTTCTGGTGACCCGTCCTCCCCTTGCCAGGACACTGCACTGACCAGCCGTGCTCTCTCCCGTCCAGCCTCCCTGGCTCCCAGACTCTCCACCACCCCCAACTCCAAGCCACAGGCACCGTGGGCTCTGTTCTCTCTCCTCTTCCCGGTGCGGTCGTCCGGACCCAGCACAGACTTGGCCAAGACACTCCAGATTCATGAATTGCTCCTGCCTGACAAACGTCCTTTGCTTGAACAAAAGCTGGTCGGGCTCCTGATCCTTCTCCGAGGCCCACCAGGGCACCTCCTTGTACGATCTGGTTTTAGCAAGAACCCTGCTATGTCAGTTCTACCAGAGCTGCCCCCCTCCCCCTGACAGCCGCCCAGGCTCCCCATTGTCCAATGTCCCTCCTTGGAGATGCCTGGTCCCCGGGCTGGCCTTCAGCCACGGTCCTGTCAGGCCGGCGTAGCCAGAGCCCCTGACCCCGCAGCCTCTCCCCGACAGCACGAGCCCGTCACAAGTGCCCCCTGTCCTTGCGGACGGCCCTGCGCCAGGCCTGCCTCACCAGCTTTCACAAGAGTCTTTGAATACCTTTTCCTTTAACATGTCCAGCCCCTCGTGTCACAGCCATGGGACTCTCATGGCATGAGCTCCAAGAGGAAGCAGGTCGTGCCACGCACCGTGCCCTCCTTCCGCTTGGGGCACTCCCCCACTGCCCACCCCCAGCATCGCCCTCCGACCTTGGCGTGACCCCTCCAGTGCACCCTCGCACACTCAACGCAGACCACGTCCCTCCGGGAGCAGCCGTGCCAAGCGGATAGAATGACAGTAAACAGGACCGTCGGTGAGCAGCCCATGTGTAAGAAATGAATTAGGACAGAATGGAAAATACCCCAGTATAGCGAGAGTGTAAGTATTGTTTTGTGAAGCTGTCATTTCACGTGTGTGTGTGTGTGTGTGCGTGCTTGTCCTGAGGACGGCGCGACAAACTGCAAACCCACTCGGCCGAAGCTTCCCTGGCCCGCCCTCCCCAGCTCCTGCCAGACAAGCCTTCGGCCCCTCCCCTCGTGGCGCGGCCTCTCGCACTGCTGGTGCTGGTCTCCTCGTCTGTTTCCCAAACCAAGCACACATTTCCAGGGGCCAGAAAGTGTGTGTGTTGTCGAACTCGCCTCCTCCCGCAGCGGCATCTGGAAGGTGCTCACGGAACACACCGGGATGTGGGAATGCCCACAATAGGAGACGAGATGAGGATGGACGGGAGGGGACGAACGTGTCATGCTGTGAAACGTCAAGTCCCTTTTAGCAGGATAAAAGGCTTCCATCAAAGGGGGGAACGTAGAGCTAGAGAGGCAGGCAACCCCGGGGCGGGAGACTGCAGGGACCCTGAGCAAGGGAGCCCCTCCCGGTCCCGGAGGTGGACCCCAGCCCGCCACACCCAGACCAGGGCTCCCTCCCCTCCTCCCTCAGGCTCTCAGGAGCCCCGGTCTGCAGCACCTACACACCAGCGAAGGGAACCAGGGTGCTGCGTTGGGAAGATACCAAGAAGGAAGTCAGACCGCTTGAATTAAACAGGAATAGCAAATTTACGAAAAAAATCATCCAGGACACAATGACATTACAGCCTCTGGTGAGGGCTCCTCACTGAGCCGCCCACGGGACTGGGAGAGGTGGCTTGGCCTGGACTGGTCCTTCCTGCTTCAGATTCCTCCACACCGGGTGTGTGTGTGTGTGTGTGTGTGTGTGTGTGCTGCGTGCACGTTGCATGCGTATATATAGCATGTGTGTGGTGTGTGTGAGTGAAAGGATGTGTGTGTGGTATGTAGGTACCACATGTGTGTGTGTGTGCACACGTGTGTATATGGTGTATGTGTATGTCATGTGTGTGTGTCTCGTGTGAGTGCAGTGAGTGTGTGCCAGTGGGTCCCTTGCGCCCACAGCAGGCTCCGAGCAGCCGTGGTCACAGGCTCCATGGTCTCCTCATAGGCCCAGCAGGCCAGGACCGGAGGGGAACGGGGGATGCTGGGACCATTTTTGCTTCAGGCCCTCTAGTGGCTCCTGGAAAAGGGTCTCCAGTTCCAGCAAGACCTCATGGGGTTCTGGGAGCCCTCCCTCCTCATGCAGGGCCAGAAGATCCCTGAATCAGGAAGAATGAGCTCATGTCGGAAGGGGCCCTGACCAGCGGAAAGCCAGCGCTCGGGGCGGGTGGTGTGGCCGCGGACCGCAGGGCCCGAGTCTGGGGGGGGGGGGGGGGAGAGGGCCATCTGCTGAGCGCCTGGTCTCGGGAGCTCATCTTGCTGCGGAGACCTGAGAGGGAGGAGTGAGGTTGGAGACTCTGACCTCAAAGGACATACTTGATCCTCTCTCCTCTGGTTTATAGGAATGAATCAGTTTTGCTGATGATAATTAACTATGCAAATAAAATGAATTATACTAATTGTCATCCTGCTTGCAAAGTCCAGCCCCTAGATGGGAGTCCGGAGACCCGGGACTGGGGCCTGGTAGGGGAGGGGCAAGGAGTCAGCTCACCAAGGTCCAGGGCAGTGCGCAAAGGGCAAGGCGCCCCATGGAGGACAAGGAGGACGCTCCGGAGGGGCTTGTGTCCCTGCCTGGCAGTGCTGGAGCTAGGGAGACCAGGAGCCCTGAGCGCTGACCTCAGCTGACTCTGCAGGGGTCTGAGATTGCGCTCTTTGTGGGTTCGAGGACACCAGCGCACGCAGGACCCAGAACAGCGGTGAAGGGCGCATCTGGGAAAAGGGCCCAAAGCACCCTGTACTCACAGTAAACTCTGGGACCCAGTGTCGCAGGCCTCTGCGGAAAGGAGTCGGGGCTCGTGGGGCCCACGGGCCACACAGCCCAAGTCCACAAACTTCGCGCTGGCCAGGCCTGTCCTCCCCGCGTGGTGCCCAGGCAGCGGGCGCGCCCGGCCGTCTCTGTCGCCATCCAGAGGCGCGGCTTGGGCGCGGCGTCCCCTCTGCCTGCCTCCCCCGCCAGTCCCGGGGACCACGCCGGGACCCCGCTGCGTCGGGCGCGCGCACCGGGCGCGCCCCTCCCATTGGTGGCCGGGCGCG